TACTACTACTACTACTACTACACTAGGCAAAAATAATATTTATTATTTAAATAAATAAATAAATCTCACCAATCTCCTTGCCATGTCCCGAGTGAAGCATGGCTCCGGCAGAGGTGACCACAGCGCAGGTCTGGAAGCCTGGCCCGTAGAGCTGGCTTAAAGGTAAGGCAGGTACAATCTTCTGCCAGCCTAAATTGGAAAAAGGCATCTCGGCCCCATCCAAAGTTCGAACCTTTTCCCCCTTCTTCAGCTCACACAACACCTGTTGGCCGCTCTGTTGCGCCTTCCGGTGCCCCCTGTAGGCCACGCCGTGTTTATTATTATTCAGATAGTCTTTCATAGCTCTCTGCAGGCGAGGACTGAGCATGCCCACGGACAAACTCCCTTTCCACAGGCCGCGCACTACGGATTTTGACCTGGGAATATAGTACTCATCCGGGTCAGAGTCATCACGCATAGCCGCCTGTTTAGTCTTCCTCCTCCTGCCCTCGTCTCCCTCCTCCTCATCTTCCTCTTCCCCTCCCACCTTCTCTTCCTCGTCCTCTTCTTCATCCTGTTGAGGGGAATCCTGAGTATACTCTTGTCTCTCACGGTTGCGACTCACAGCGGCCGATCTGGAACCCACGTCCTGGGTGCCGAATGCAGACCAGGCTGCCAGGCTCTGAGGGTCGGGATAGGGGTAGGCCTCCTGGCTAAGCGGACTGGGCTGGGGGTCGGCACTGGGGTTTTCCTCCTGGCTTTGCTCCTGTTGGGTGTTCCTAGAGGCAGGGAGGGTTGAGGTGCCAAGCCCCAAATAGGTGGCCATAATGGTGCGGGGGTTGCCCTGCAGCGAGGTCAGGCGCCGCGTGTCTGTGTAGGAGAGAGCGGCCGCTGAGTGCGGGTCGTCCACTCGGGACTCCATGAAGTAGGAGAGGAGCACCAGGAACAGCAGCACCCAGGCCAGCATGAGGCCGAGGGCAAGCCGCTGTTTCAGACTGGACTTCATCTTTCAGAAGTCCCCTCGGCCACACGCCACCGCACTCCAGAAGGGTCAGCAGGAGGCCTACAACAGGACAGGAATGGTTAACCTCATAACACAATTTCAGATACAGATCACTAGCTTTGAAAAGAAATGATTCAAGTTGACCACTACAATACTCTAAACACAAAT